TGCACTTCAAATTGTATTCCAACGGATTATTCGAACACAAACCAGATAATTGTTTCTATTTCTGATTCCGCATTTTTTTACTTCTTTAATTCTTAATTGTAGATTAATTAACTCGCCTGTAGATAGTAAAATTGTAGATACTGTTAATATGAATGATAGAAACATTGTAATTAATCCCTCTACTTCTGGTATTTCACAAGCATTAGATTTTCCTTTATTGTCAGATCACTCTAAACTTGTAAAAAAAAATACCGCGAAAACCTGAAGTTGCCCGATCGTCCCTTGGATTTAAGTATTCTCTTTAATGCCAAGCTGGTAGCTCTTTTAACTGAAGATGACCCCATGTTGATCGCCATCGTAAAGGTACTTCAAATCAAAGTGGAGACGATTAATGCAAATTCCCCCTACTTCAAACATTTTACCAGAGATTCACACGAATCCGACAGATTGTTATACATGGACGGTAAACTTGTCATAACTTTTACCCTGAGAAAAGCTATGATGAAGACACTCCATGAAACTCATCCTGGTTAATTTGGAATGAAGTATCTGGCCCAATACATTTGGTGGCCTCATATTAACAGGCAAATTTATTTCCATGGCAAAAACTGTTCAGAATTCACATCGGCGAGTAAAAATTTGAAAACTGTTATCCGAAATTCACAAATCAATGATTTTCCCCCCTAATTAGAACCAAGCAAAGAACTTAACCTAGACTTCGCTGGACCTTTGGATTCATGTTGGGGGTCAAAAAAATTTATTTTACTTTGCATCGATCGATTTTCAAAATTTCCTTCGGCAAAGATTACATCATCTACTTCTGCAAAAACAGTTATCAAATTTCTCCAGGATTACAAATTCTTACACGGTATACCTTATTCACTAAGAGTAGACCAGGCAACTTGCTTTGCAAGCCAAGATTTAAAATTGTTCTGCAATTCGAACAATATTAAAGTAATATTTTGTACAGTAGGTGACCATCGTTCCGACGGATTAGTCGAAAAACTTGTAAGTATTGTAAAAATTAAACTGTTAGCTATATCACAAGAACATCAAAAATGTACACTTCAAAAGGCCGTTTCAAAAAATATCTGGAACCTACGATCATCTTAACGATCTAAAATCAAATGTTACCCCTTTGAAGTTCATTTTAATAGAAAACCAAATACTATTTGGAAACAACTAGCCTCCGGTAAACCATCCGTTGGAATTTCAGATAAAGTGAAATCTATACTATCGAAGGAAAGGGCGAGTGATTGGAATTCAACGATAGACTTGAAAATGGCTACAAGGACAATTTGATTGCGAAAAAGAATCAAGCACCATCAGAGAAGGGTTACGACACAGACTATGCCCCAACTTCGAAAACCCACACTGATAGAATACCTCTTCAAAGTCCCTTCAAGGGTAAAATCCTTCGGAAAACAAATGGAACAATCAACCGAGACCCTTTTTATAAGGAACTTAACAAAAGAATTATAAATTCGTCTACTTCGACAGCAGAATTATCCGACGGAAAATTAATACCAAAATCTGACATTGCGATTCCTAAATCAAACTCGACTAAGATTAGACCCTTCAAAGGAAACATTTAATTCTCTTATTTCCCTAACTCTAATGTTGAAGTAGGTCAGAAGCACGAGAGTCCAAGACGCAAATTTAAGCCCCGAAAGCCACAACCAAAACCTCGTAAACAAGTCGAACTAGGATCCTCAGATAACTTGACAAGGACACGCGTGTCGGGATTATCCTCCAAACCAACTCGGAGACAAACCCGTCGGTCGAAGAAGTCGACAACCCCCCAGGTTATCTTGCTTCGGATGAACATATGCTAATTCCTTCGGATATATCTGATACTAGCGACTGGGAATGGATAGCGGGAGGTTTTCATTGTAGAGATGTGGCTAGAGAGCGTTTTATTTCTTACTCTTGTAAAACCCAATTTCAGAATGGAATCACCCCTGACTCTAGTTTGCCCAAAATAAAATAAAAACTGAGATTTTAGAGGACAACACCATTCAAGCCGGAGACCAAATTGGGGTCCAAACAGTGGAATGCCCAATAATCATCATTCCGACAGGTCGAAATCCTACTTCACGCGACCAGAGTGTTACACCACAGGCGGAAGACACCACAAACAGCAAGCTATCGTAGTTACAGACAAATATAATCCGACGGACAAGGACACACCAACAGCTTCCCGGTTTATGAAGTAGTCGACTCTGCAGACGATTCCACTCCGACTTTTGTCCCTTCCTACAAACCTGGTAACGATCCTCCTATCATTCGTCGCTCTAGTAGGAATGTAGGACTACCAAAATTTTACGGTAAAAGATACTTAATAGATGTTGTAGATTTACCTCAAGAGATCTCTGGCTCTGCATCTAACCCAATTGTAATAGAAATCTACGATAACAATCAACAAGAAGCGAAAAGTAGTCGAACTCTGGCGGAACTAGTGACAATTGACTCTGATTCCCCATCTCCAGATCAAATTTCTATCTCCCCAACCGATGCATCCCTAAGAATGGTGATTGATAACTTTGGAGATCAATCAGAACTCGATAGTGAACTATTCAACGCAGAACTTGAAAACTTTTTGGATAGTTACAGAAATTGTAAATGATAACTTACAACTTTATTTCATTTTGAGTACTTTTTCATCCCTTATCTTGTTGCTAACTTACATCATGCTCGTATTCTTAACTTCAGAATACTTAGATTGTGTAATCTTACCTTAAGCATATTAGTCCTTCGGATTAGATAAACAGTATCTCCACATCCGCCTTTCCAAAATCCTTCGGAGTGCAGTTATCTCAATTTCGTTCAGTCATATCACTACACTCACCAATTTATGCTTATAAACGCTACTCAGACGTTCGGTTGCATATTTGATTAATTCTGTGGGCATATCCGTCCGATACTGCACAATTTTTTAAAAATACTTTCGCATTACCTAGTGCCATTGTTAGTACGTAGTTTAGTTATTCAGCTGCTTGCACTTTTGGTGTAATAAAATTTTTTTTTCTCTTTTCTCCAAAAGTGGGAGAAAGGACTCAGTTAATTTGTAATTACCTATTGGTGCTAGTTAAAATTTTTCCTGCTTAGAAGAATGTTGTGATTCGCATTTTATCTTGCATCTATTGCAAACTTTACCTATCTTAATTAGATAACAGGTCACTTACATATGACCTTCACATGCCATTCTCTCCGGCGGTTCGCTCCGGCGGTTCGCCATTCGCTCCTTTATTAATGTTTTAACTTAAGACTAATTCACTTTTATTCTTTTCTCTTTTAATTGTATAACTTAGAATTAGCTACAACAAAGTAACATTTTATCAATAATAATGGCAAGAATTGAGTTTCACAAAAATTGGATGGTTTTCAGTCAAAAACGGTTGATGAAAAAACAAGTACTTAAATTTAACCTTATTCTATTCCAGACATATTTTTGAAATCGAAATCAGTTCATTGAGTTTACAAGTTTTCGATGAAAATTTATGGATGAAAATCAACCATTGCTGCCAAAATTAAAAAAAAAAATTTAACAGCTTGAAAGCCAACAGAAAAAAAATTGCTTCACAATATTCAAAAAACAGCATTTTGCGCTCCAATAATAAGCTACTTACAAAAACTTTGATTGACGATTAAGAGTAAAACCAAAAAAAACGAGGGTCACAAAAATCTAATGAAATAGAAAATTTTTGTTAGCCATTTTTTGGGGAGGAGGTCGGCAGATAATAATTCTGTGCTTCAAGCTAATTAGCACAGAATGATTATCTGTCGAAGTTCTCAAGTTAAAAAAGAGCTCGATGTTTTTAAATAGAGTTATAGTCTCTAAAATTGTCTTGATCAGACAATTACTATATTATTTTAATTGGTTTCAAATTGCAAATGGAATTCATACCTGTCTCTTTGGCACACTTAAAAATTTTTAAAATTCAAATCATGACTGAAAAAAATTTAATTTCATTATGTTTTCGATCACGTACAAGCGCTCTTTGATATGCCTGATTTTGCGTGGAAAAAAAACACCCCTAGGCCCTTTTTACTTCCCATCGCTAGGGGAGGGGGTCAATCAGAATATAGAAGTCTTACTTACTTCTCAATTTATACAAGTTGTTTCGGTCAGAAGAAAAAATAAAAATAAAAGTTTCACGAAAGAAATATAACTTAAATTTCTGACATATAAATGCGCATCTGTAATGAAAGCTTTTGTGAAGGCTTTTCGTGGGGGGAACAAAAAAAAAGGAAAATTTAGTGCACAAATGTTGTATCAAGAAGATCACACGTTGAGGCAAAATTTGCTTAGATGCTTTTATTTCGCTACTTTGGAAGCATAAGTTGGTCTACTTATCTCGAGTTGAGGCGATAGCATAATTTCATTGATGGTTGAAGGCTGTTAAATATTTATGAAGGGAGATAAGCGGGCTATTAGCATGATTAAAACAACTCCATCCAACGCCCAAGTGGTGGAAAAACAACTGAGCTATGGGTAAAGAAAACAAAAACAACACCAGGAAAGGATCAAAACTTTGCGGGCAGAATCAACTCCAATTCCCGTTGTAATTGAATACACTGTCAGCTCATGGAGTTATTTCTAAAAAAAGATATTTCAACTGTGTTCCAAGTTATGGTCAAACAAAAACTAATATTCTAATGAAAAAAGACGCCGAAGGTAATTACATCAACTTGAAAGAAATCGTCGACAAAAACGTAGATTCTTAAACGAAATTATTTTTCATCAAAAATCAAACCACTATATTGTTTTTCTGGGGACATTTAAAGAATAGTTTTTCTGGGGACATTTCTTACTTCCGTCAAAAATCGAACGTTTGTTTGGAAGAGCTATTTTGATCTAGCCCTTAGAAATGGATGGAAATTTGATAGTTTTTTAATTTGGCAAATCTAGTCTGAATTCATTCGGAGAGACCAAAAATGAACAAATTGTGTATTTCTGAAAAGTGTAAATTATGTAAAATTAATTTTGTTATACTTACTCTGTGACGGTAATCTGATTTGTCCATTTTGCTTCGTTTGGGTAATTGAAAATTTATTCACGAAAGTTTTGAAAAATTTTCAATTTTTGGAAACCTGGAAACAATATTGATGTTTAGTATTAAGTGGTTTTTGGAGAAATTGATGAAAATCTAAACTGTTTAATATTAATATATACTGGGCCGGTTTTGGTGAGATTGACGCATATTAAATTTTATCATTACTCTTTTAAAAAAGGCGATCTTTACGTCACAACATTGAAAAATGTTGGTTAAGTTGGCTTATATTTTCCATTGTCTCAGAAATTTACAAACAGGTGCGCTTGTTAAATCATGGACAATTTTTTCCGGTAATTTTTTTTTATTTTTAGTTTCAATTGTTTTGTGCATTTTGCTGTTTTTGCTACAATGTTTTTGCAAACACCGGTCTCTCTAGACGGATTAACGTTCGAATAAATTGAAAAGTAATCCGATTAGACTTATTCTGAGTCTTATTGGAAAAATGAATATTACTTTGAAATTTTCTTTTTTTTCATCCGCCAGAGAAGAATTTAAAGACTTAATTTGATGAAATTCCCAAAAGCTAGCCGTTTCGAAAAAATAAACAGCGGCATGGAGCTTGAACTTCAAGAAAAAGACCTAAAATTTGGACGGATTTACGGGTTAACATATAATAACTAACAAATTTTGAGCACTAGATTTAGTTTCCCGAAGACGATATTTCTCTGAAACATTTAAAATTTTAAGGATTAAGAACAAGGAATATTTTGAAATGCATCATAACACCCAGGAAGGGTTCATGGTATGGTTTTCAAACGGAGGACCGTCTCTAGAGCCATTTCATAAAACCCAATTATCGACTACATCTGAAGTTTTTATTAGAAAAGTTTTGATGCAATACATTTGGATTAACAAGGACAAGGGAGGGGTTCCAAGCGGCGGTGCGGTGAATGGGTTCTATGAAGAGCTGAAGAGCCATATGTTGACCTTCTGCCTGTGGAAAAACTATTTTAAATTCACTTATAACAGAAAAATTGTCTCAAAAAAGACATTTCAGGCATGTTTTTTTAACAAACAGATTCCAAAATTTCACAATTTTTCTCAAAAAAAAACGGTATTAGTGAAATTTTGCTCACACCGTCTAATGAAATAAAGGAGTCAAATCTTTTAATTTTTTATATTCAAGTATGTCGCAGTAATTGAGGGTTTAAACTTGAACTATTTGTTCGGACGCTTCACTGAAAGATTTCTGAAGGAGCTCTGGATTAGCTTGTACTTTTTTCAGCCGACTTTAAATAATTCGGGAAGGTAATAGTTAGTAAGCTCGGTATCATATTAAAGAACTTTCGCTTGTGATTTGAATTTCAAAAATTTTTTTCAAATTTTTAATTTTTTTAAACAAGTGTTCTGCTTAAAAAGTTTTAACGTTTTCCGTTTTTCAGACTAAATGACTCAGAACAAACCATTGACATTCTCAATTCACTTCAAAGGCAATTTTTAAAGTGTAGCTAATACTAATTTTAATTTTTGCAGCTTTTGACTTACTTCAATCACCTTTGCTGAAACACAAGGAAAAACTTTGGCACGACCTCACGAAAAAAATTAAAAACTTTCCTGACATGGCAGTGATACTGATTGAGCACTGGTTGAACCTCCTCATCAGTGGAAGAAGTTCCGGACAGGTCGGAGACCGGGCAGAACCTCGCAGTTGTGAAATTTTTGGCACAACTAACGTGGGACTAGCCATCCTATCTCCAGATCCATACGGAAGTACGATGCTGGCGAAGAGAAGCCTTTATGAGCTCCCTTCAGCATAACCACAAACAACAACAACAACAACAACAACAACAACAACAACAACAACAACAACAACAACAACAACAAGAACAACAACAACAACAACAGCAGTGGTTCCAAATTAAAGTTCTGGATGCAAAAAGAAAACGTTTGGTTTTTTTCAGAAGTTGGCTACGTTCAACAAGAAACTCAGTCTCGAATACAAATCGCTTTTCATAGGGGGTTCTACAATCTAATACCATACAATTTAACACTGGTTTATTTAAATCCACAACAATGTAACTCCTGTTTTCTAACTTAACACCAACATTTATGCTCTATGTACTCCTTATCTTAACTGCTATCCCCCCAAAGTTAATCCTTCAATTAGCTTACGTATCACATAGAAAAATTTGGTTTATCCGAGGTATAAATTTTACATGCAAAAATGAGGCTTCACAAATTATTTAAGAGTCTTATCGACAAAATCGTAATCATCTTTCTGCTTAGCCGCTGGAACCTTTAACTCAATATACTGCCGTGAGTAGGATTGCTAGGACAAAAAAGCTTTCGAACGATGGAATTTCGGCATCCAATCAGTTTACACTCTGAAATGTGGAAAATATTGGGCAGAAAAGACATCTTTGTCCAAAAACTAAAGGTTTCTGATGCATTGAGCAGCCATAATTTTACGAAGAAAAAGTACCGCGTATTAAATGAACGAGTCAAAAACATTATTTCCGTTTACGATGAAAAATCTGATCTGCTTTTAGAACATTATCTAGCTTGGGCTAAGCCAATGTAACTTTTGACCTAATTTTGTTTGATTCACTTTTATTATAAAAATCAATACTTTTTCCTACTTCCAGCTTTTTTTTGAAAAGACGTTTCTTGCAGACTGCCTGACAACGTACTGAAATCTCGAAATCGAATCGTGCACTATCAGTTCGATCCCACGACAGCTGCCTTTAATTTCGGGATGAGATAGGTTGGGAATACGGGCTGGCAAAATTTTTACTTCTAAAAAAATTTAAAAAAAACACAGAACCAATTTTAAAAAAAAAACGAACAAAGCGATCGTGTTATAAATTTAGGCTCGAGAATGATTCTTAAATTAAATGAGTTTTAGGTTTTGAGTGTTAAAGAATGCTTTTTTTACATTTCTCTGCTGGCTGAAAACGTCCCAAAAATTACGCCATTTTTGGTCAAAGAACGTTTAACTAATTGCGCGCCTGTGAAGTTCGTTGAAAGATTGCTCGTTTTTGGTTCGAATCATTTTAACAACCCGGAAGACTGGCTAAGACATTTCTATTCAAAAATCACGCAAAATACGTAGCATTCAATTGGCTAGCTCTAAACGGCCAAATGTTCTTGCTCTATTCTTTGATGTGTCCCGAAGTCCCCTTTGAAGTAAGTTCTCTTCTCATTTTGGATTAAAAAGGTTTTAAGTTATAGGAGTTATTTTAAAATATCAATGTCTTAAATTACTAAGGCACCAAAAAAAGGAATGAAATTGTTTGGTGCTAAGTTGTTTAAGTTCAGAAGCTGGGAAAACTTTCATAGATCCTTGGCTAGTTGCAAAAACCTAATTATTTTAAATATTTTTGTTTTACAAATATGCATCAATTTCTTCTAATTTTTGAAGTAGGAGTGCTATATTCTACTTGCACGACAGCGAATAATCTGTTTTTCATAAATTCTCTTTTAAAAAACTTTGAGACATATTGAAAAATGAAAAGTATTGTAAAAATGAAAATTAATTTATTCTTCTGCAAGATTGTTAAAACTAATCAAAACTCATAAAAATATGACAAATAACTAGCAATGTGTTTGTATGATAAAACAGTGGCAGAAAAATTGTTTTGATAAATAACAAAGCACAAAAACTTTCGAAAAGTTAATTTAAAAAGAGTTATATTATTGATACTGCGACCTTTGTAAATTCTCAAAGACAAAATTTGTGCTAAATCTGATCTTTAAACAGAAATGTTATAACTTAAGCCAGATTTTAACTATACTTGGTATCGGAGAGCATTCATCGCAACGCGGTCCGATTTCGTATCTATGAGGCTCACAAAAGTCTTAAGCTAGCTTTTGTTGCCCTGTTGGTTTAACTCAAAGCAGTGCATTTTAAAAACCAAGAGTCATGTTTTATATTTTTCTGAGTCTGCTTCTGGAAAGGTTGAATAATGATTACACGAACATCTGCATTATATGATTATCACAATCGTAGCTGATTGTTGGAACATTACAGAAAATTGTAACGTATACATGGTCTTTTTTGTATTTTGACAGAGGCCAACTATTTTGACTGAGGCCGGTTGACGACGTTGAAACTGATTCAGGTGAAAGCTTAGCTTTGAGTCTAAGATGTCTTTTGCCACATTATTGAAAACAAATGATCTTATGTGAAGTATCATATTAAACCGCAAAAAAATCGAGCTGAAGGTTTCTAAAAATAAGATTTGCAAAAAAAAAGATTTTAATGAGTTTTGAACGCGTCAACAAACAAAACTTTGTAATTTTAGTTGAAAAAGGAAAACAAATACAATAAAGCATAAAATTTGTCATTTCCGAATCGTTATCAAATTTAATACAATCAGGGTATAATTTTTAAAAATAATTGTCATGCTGAACCTTCTGAAAAAGAATAAAGTTATAGAAAAAGCTTTGAAAGTTTTCTGTCTTTGGCGCTGTTTTGGCTTGCTCTTTGGACCTGGAGCGGTTACTTGTTAAAAAATTAGTCGAATAATGCTGTTTTAACGGTTAAAATATTTTAACCGCTGGAATTGTAAAAATGAGGGTACAGAGCAGTGGTTCTCTTCATGAAAAATTTCCTACTTTTACGATCGCAAGACAGCTTTTTTTCTTCATCTTCATTTTGTAAAAAAAAATTATAAAAACCAAAACTCAAACAAAGTTCATTGAACTCGAAGGATCCAAATATCGACTGGAAAAATTTCGCTTGTTATTAATATGTTGTTCTGTTTTTCAACAAAATGCTTGAATTGAGCGAAGTGAAATTCTATTTGATTGGTTTCATTCATTTTTCCAAAAATGCCAGGAATTTAATCAGTTAAGCGGTTAGGCAAATATTGCATTGCTATTAACCAGTTAGACTAAAATAGTAACCGCTTCATGTCCTACTTGCTTCAATTTTACATTGTCATCACGAGAAGAAACTTCAGTAAATTACAAGTCTGTCAATGAAAAACGAGCGGTTTTTTGAGCATCTATTCAAAAAACAAGTTTGCAATTTGAACTCAAACTAAAAAAAAACTACTTAAAAAGTCAAAACAGATCAAATGTTTTTGTTCCGACCATTTACAAATGTAGAGGAACAATGTTATTCGGGTGTGTATTAGTTTTTTTTCTTTGTTTTCCAAGCAAAATCAGGTAGCAAAAATAGTCATTGAAAAGGGATCGAGTCATAAATCACATTGAATCCCCTTCAGTCATGGTTCAAATGACAAATAAAAAGTTTAAAACAGTTTTTGACAGTGTCGGTAAAAACCATTTTGATATTTTGTCTTTTGTTCTAAATTCATGCT